TTTTTAATTGCTTCTGTGAAAACCGTAGCCCCTTCTGGCCAGTTAAGGTACCGTGGAAAGATGCAGAGGATTTGGGCACAGTCCCACTTCTGCTGCTTACAAGTCAGACCCTCTCTGGGCCTGTCTCCTGTGATGTAAAATAAGGCCGCCTACCTCCCCACTGCCCCCAGGATGGTTATGAGAATTTAGTGAGATAATATATGAAAAAGCACTTTGAAAATCATGAAATGCTCAACAGATGAAAGGAAGTACCGGCACCTGAGTACAGCTCAAGGACAACTGTCTACAGTTCTCTACCCATGGGGACCCCCAGCCTGTGGAGACCAGTCTGTGTGTGAACTGTGCCAAAGGGAAAAACCTACAAAGGAAGATAGAAGCAAGCTGCACTGGGGGGCCCAGAGGACTCCACAAACAATCCAAGTTCAAGGGTGGTGTTGGTGAACATGATCTCAAATCAGATGGAAATAAAGAAAGTTGTTGATCACAACTGCGTAGGTCCCATCTGACACTAAGGTCTACCTATACCCTATACTCTAGTGAAGAGCAAGGCCAGGGAGTCTAACTGGAGGGAATCGAGAATTGGGCACAGTTTACTCATCGATACCCACGAAAGACAAATCCAGTCGCCCAAGAGATAGACTCCACTGGGAGACAGAAATCCAACTTTTCCAGAATAAACACGTGGTTGGCATAGCCAGCAAGGGCACCTGACCCCTCCTCTTTGATTCGTTTACCACCATCACCACCACTAACGATAATTACTATCATTATTAGCAACTGTCATTTCTGAACTCTGATTACTTGCCGGGCCCTGGGCTGAGTGCTATGTGTGCCTCCTGTCATTCACTCCTTGCCACATGCCATCCCTAGAATAGACACTGTTATTATTCCCTCTTGAAGATTAGAAAATAGCAATTCCAATTATCAATTTGGGAAATCCTTATCCTTAAGAATCCCTAATACAAAATCCTCAAGATCAGGGAAAGGACATAAGGACTGAGAATGCTCCAGTCTCGCAAAAAAGATTTCCCTCTGGAGTGGCACCTGTGGCTCAAGGAGTAGAGCACCAACCCCATAGACTGGGGGTGGTGGGTTCGGGCCCAGGCCCAGCCAAAACTGCAAAAGAAAAAAAAAAAGATTTCCCTTTGTATGTATTAATCCATATCTTGTTTTCTACTTACTCACTTTTCCTATTGAAGAAGATAAAATAGGAAGAAATAACAAGTCTATGTTAACCAGTTTGATGTAAATATTTCAAATTGTATATGAAAACACTACACTGTACCCCATGTTTACATTAATGTATACGGCTATCATTTAATATAAAAAAATAGGAAGAAATAGAGAAAACTGAAGAAGTCAAAAGGAGATGGTCAGTCACACATCAACCTTGAAGCAGGGCCCATAAGTCCGCGTCTCCAGCCTTCTTTGTGCCAATGTGGCTTTAACTTCACTGGTTCATTTTCTGGTGTGGGGAAAATGGCACTGCCTAATGCCATGGCAGCGTGGGGTGGGAGGTGGCTGAACCAATCGGGACAACTCAGACAACCTGACATCAGCACGAGGGCAATCATATCACTTCCTGCTTCTCATTCTGCGCAGAGGGGAGAAGAGAAGCCTCCTCTGCCATCACCCTAAAAAAAAATGGAAAGGCAAGAAAAGCCGCCAAGCCAGGGCTTGGCAATTAGTGCTGGAGTAAGTGATCATCTTGTGATTGCTCAGCTGGGGACTGAAGACTTGTAAATGCATTTAGAGGACTGAAATAGAAGATGTTGTGAGAGAGCGGAGAAACCTGGCCCATTTGCCAGGAGAAAATGTCCCAAAGCTGCCGGGAAATTTACTCAATTGGGATCTGGGGTGTGTCTTCATAAATAGGAAAAGGGAATAAATAAAACCCAGGGACAAAGCCCACGTGTATCTCTCCGTGACCCCCAGGGCCCACTGGATGCCACACCATGCCTGTCAGAGCTCCAGACTGGTGCTGACTTTCCTGCACCGAGCTGAGCCTCCCAACTTGCCCCTGTTGTGCAGCTGGACCCAAATTGGGGACAGACTAATGGTGATCTGTCTTTCTCAGTGATGTCCCTACAGCCAACAGCAAGTACTTTGACAAGGGCTGGCCAATGTGTCCAAGAGAACACAGGGCTCAAGGTCATGTGCAGGTTTAATATCATCCTCAAGCCCCACTCCAACCAGAACCCCTGAGCCCCCAGAGCCTTGGGCATCTTGCAAAGTCTCGCCAGCCTCTGTTGCCAGCACCTACCAGTAGATCCCAGATCATCCCAGAAGAGGTGGTATGTCACAGCCCCCTTCCATGGAGCTCAAAGGCAAGCCAAAGACATGTTCTGGGACAACCCCCTCAGGGACACCTGTGGCTAGGATGCACCCCTGCTCCCGTTGCTGAGTCTATGGAAACCCCATGGGTCCCAAAGCACTCCCCATCTCCCTAAGAGCTGTGGACACCACACCCTAGAACAGGAGTCCACAAACTTTTTAAACCCACCAGGCCCGGTGCATGTGGCCAGTGCCCTAACTATTGACCTACAGGCGCCGAGTCCTAAGGGTCTTGTTTTTAATTGCCAGTATTTAAAACTTAAGTGGATCTTCAAATCTTCTTGAAACTACAAGTCTGGCAGTACTGGGCC